TGGATTAAACTTGGCAATATCAAAGCTAGGGGCATGTGGCATATGGATCATAAAGGCGTTTGGAAGAACGATGAATTCATATCTAAAAACACAAAAAATAATCACATGATAATTGCTGAATAAATTGACTTCTCTTTTATTCTTTATTCATCTAAATGACAGAAGTGTGTTATAAGTTACATTTTGTTGATACAATATACAATGAACGCATTTTTTGGTTTAGCTGTGTTTCTGTCATGTGTTGACTCAGGAACACACGAAACATCAAAGAAACCAAAGAGCTTACAAGTTTAACTTCTTGTTTATTCCGTCATTTTCAGTTACACCAATGGTACTACTTTTTACATATCAATACACCTGGGTGATCAGGTGACATATAACACCATTACAACAGTATGTATTCTGATGCCCCAATAAAGTAGTCCCAAAAAATGCCATACCCCCGGTAGTTTCTATTAATTACCCTTCTAATACAAGCAAATGTGGAACGAGTTGGATGGAGCTATAGCAGCGCTTTAAATTATTTACATTCATTACAGTTATCATAATTAATGTCAATGGTTCAGGTTTCCATGACAACTTACCCTAGTGCATCTATTTCCATAATATGAGAGACTTTGTTCCATCCAAATCCAACAAATCTTGTATCATACAAAGGAGAGTCTTTTTTCACAACAACATATGGCTCAAAATCCGACTCCCATTGCACCTACAATCAAATAAGACAAAACAAAAATATATTCTGTTATATGATAATTTTTATAGAATTAGCCTCCCTTCCAAAATTTGAGCCGTTTCTGTTCAATGTACTGTAAAATCTGTATTAAAAGCTGTGGCTTCTATTAAAATGGTACAATGCAACGGAGGGGATACAGCTTCAATTAGAGCATCTACACATATGAGAAATTGTGAATGTTTGGTTCTCAATTGTTTAAAAAGAATGGGTGTGACTTATATTAGAGATGCCACTTCTATTACATATTTTACGGTATATCTGTGTGTGCGTAGGCCAATCAAATTTGGCCTGAACAAAAACAGATTGATAAGGATTTGTGTATGTAAGCATGAGAAGACAAAAGAGTACAATTGTTAAGCAAATGCTTCCATAGAGAAACCACTGGCTGAAAAAACCTCAAATATTTTACAGTTTTCAAAGGAATAAAGTTAGTGATAGGCAAGAATGATTGTTAATGTATTCCTCCACACATTTGGAATATTTATTCTTACATTTTACTAGTAAAGTCGGATCATAATCGTAACAAGTCAGTTTTCTTTCTAGCATTGAACTGATCTAGTAATTATTTGGATTTTCAGTTATGAATTGTGACTGTGCACGCTTCCCATAAATTTAATTTTTTGTGTGTGTCTTTTGTGTGTTTGTTGTCAGAGTTTCATATTGCATGTATATAATTATAACTGCTACAAACAGAACATGCTGGAATTTTAGATTGGGACTCACTCCAAATTCAAAAAGATATACATGTAAATATGAAACAAACTTGAGCAATACATGCAAGTTTG